ATCAGCTCATTTGGTACCGCAAGCTGCAGATTCCGATGGGGGCTGCCCCATATGGACAGGCCCAAGAAGCACGCGGGTCCGACGAGCAAGAGTTCGCTGCGCCGAGAGGAGGCCAGGCTGGCTCGCCGAGGTCGTCTTTCGTAGCGCGAGGCATTCGACCTGGCGCGCCCTCCTGCTGGGCGCAGCGAGCACAGCTCTAGTGGAGGCGCGCGCAGGGTGACTCCTGAGCAGTGGGCCCAGGCATGCGAGTTGGCAGCGCAGCCTGCCTTCTTTCGCGGCAAGTCTGGATGCCATTTTCGTCGTGTGGCGCGACCGGTTTCGACGCGGCGCATGAGTGATCTGTGTGGTAGTTTGGTCGCATATGCAGCAGTGGCTATCTCGATGGCGCCCCAGGTGGAACGGGCCGACTGGGCCTCATATCAGGAGCGCGCCCAGGGTTTTTCTCCATATGGGACATTCGAAGGTCACACTTGGCAGGGCACATTTGTCCAATTGGCCCGCTGAGCGGCGGGCAGTTTCAACGGCGCCCTTGATGGGGATCGCCTCCCCGCGGCGCTCGGGCGAGGTCGAGCGCCGGAAGAGCCCGTGAGTTTCGAAGCTTCGGGCGCAGATCGAGCAGCTCGATGGTCAGGATTTGCCCGAGTGGATAGGCAGGGGCCTCCGTGGGCTTGTAGACGCTGCGATTGCGCGCGAGCCCAGCCTGCAGGGCGATTCAGGGTTGCAGAAGCTGGTCGGGGCTGCTGATAGGCGCGCCGCCAGTGCGCGCGCTCGCCGGCGGGCTGTCTCGCGCCGCGCTTCTGAGAGTTGGGCGAGAGAGCAGTGAAAACAGAAACCGGGTATTTTACATCGTCGCCTGAAGCAGGAGTCGCATGCCCCCTCTTGATTCGATTTCGCCAGGTAGTGCACGCTCAGACCTCGCGGCCATCATGGCTGGGAAGCAGCGCGCCTGGCAACAGAAGTGATTGGATCGAGTAGATGCCCCAGAGGCTCGGCAAGAGGCCACATCGTGAGCGCTCCGCAGGGTTTGCGAGGACCCCTTGGCCCTCACTGCGGCTTCCGATTTGCGCCCTGTTGCCGGATCCGAACCAGAGAGGCGACCGGGCGACGGGAATGATCTCGAATGCAATCAAGCTCTGGAGCCGTGCGCGGTCAGGGCTCGTAGGTGCTTGGAGTTCAAGTCTTGGGCAGTTCTGGGGTACAGCAGTGAAGTGTAGTTCAGCCTTGCGAGCGGCGTTGGCTCGCAGCCCGTTAGATGAAGCGGCGGTGCTAGCAGGCGCACGGGTTGCGACGTTGCGTATTTACGTTGGAAGATGGCACGACCCTTTGATTTTCGCGCTGCTAACCAGCATCGTCTCCGACGTAGGTTCCTCCGCCCTGGTTGATGCTGTGGAGGCGCAGGTCCATTTAGCACCATGGTTTTTTGACGGGTCAGGGAGGCGCTAGCCTGGCTAAAAACCCAACGAGGTCCACTGTTGCAGGGTCCTGCGTGGGAGCGCCGTTAGCCAATCTTTTCTTGTTTCTGATTTTGGATCCTTCCCATCGGCAGGTCAAGGTGCGTTGGCTCTGGTCGTTTATCGATGATGCGGTCTCGGGGGCTGAAGTCGCTGCCGAGGGCGCGGCAGGCTGGTTATCTCGGAGAAAACTTTTGTATTGGCCGGCTCCCTTAGGATTCAAGCCAGAGTAGGAGAGGCGCTCAAGTGGGCGCGGCTTCCGCGTGGAGCTGCCACTTCCGCCGTCGACTTAGGATGCGACGCCGCCGCGGGCAAGTCTCGGAAGTTGCGGCGAACGAAGCAGAGGCTGGCCAAATCCAGCAAGAGGTCGTTAGGCAATTCAGCAAGCTCCGCCGTTCAGCGACATTGTCCAAAATCTCGCAGTCTCCATGGGCCAACGGGGCTCTCCCCCGGGCCGCATGGCCACCGAGTGCGCGGTATTGGCCGCTGGCAGCTCCTGTCTCTCAGGCGCCAGGCTGGTCGGGCCATTGCTTGGCCAGGAGCAGGTAGGTGTTTGACGACGCTGTTAGCTCTGCACTTGGGTGAAAGTCCCAAGGCTCGAAATCCGCAGGCAGTTGGTCCTCGAGTTCGCGGCCGTGCGCGCGTGGCGTGGATGCAACTCGCCCCCTGTCTGTGGCCCGTGAAGATTCGATGGGGTCGGGTCGGGGGCCCCGTCGGCGCGGTGCTTGCGTCGCTTTTTATGAGGCTGGGCGGGCCCCGTCGGCTCCCGACTCGCGGCGCCGCCCGACGGGCGGAGGGGGGCGAGGTCTGGGGGCTTCTTGCGCTGGCGATGAGGGTTTCGAGCAAGGGGATTTTGTTTTAACGGACTCGCTTTCTGATCATGTCCAGGACTTGTCGCCCCTGCTTTGGGCTCGGGCGCCGCTCATTATGGCGGTGGGGGTTTGGAACTCGGGGGCGGGGGCGCGCTCTTAGCGGAGGGGGGGGGGGGGGGGGGGGGCGTCGAGCGTTTCTGGCTCATCGCGCCTGAAATTCAGTGGCCCCCCAAAACGCAGCAGTCTCAGGTGCGCAGTTCACGCGTGAAACGCCAGCTGCAATGGGTTGCGAGGTTGGGATGTTATGCCCGCGGTGCGCGCTGAGCGCCGAAACGTACTTCCATGAATTTTTGGAGTGCACACGCACCGTCAGATTTGCAGAATTCGAGAAGAGCGGGTGTCTCAGGCAGCAGGCTCAGTCGCAGTGGGAGCAGTCTCCTGTGCTGTGTCTCAGATGTGTGCCGCCAAATATGCACACTCGTATCTCGGTTTTCCCTGAAGGGGATCCTCGGTGTCTGGGACCGGCCCCGATTCCAGAGCCGCATCCCGAGTATGGGACGGCGGCGGTTTTTGGTGACGGGTCGGGGGGGGAGGGCGCAGTGCGGACCCGCGTAGGCGTTGGAGTGGCACTGCGGTGGTCGCGATGCAGCTTGGCGGTCAAGGGGGGTGGGAGATGCCTGGGGATTGTATACTCCTGTTATGGGGTCCTAGGCAGACGGCCCCTCGATCCGAGTTGCTCGCGTTTTGTCTTGCGCTGGAGAGCGTGCCTATGCGGCTTCTGTTTGCGACCGATGATGCACCTCTGGTGTCGGCTTGGGCGCGAGGTCGACAGTTTCAGAAGAATGGTGCAAATCAGGATTTGTGGTCCCGAATTCGCGTTGCTCTCCAGAGTCGGGTCATGGAGGTGAACCTGAAGTGGGCCCCCTCCCACGCGGGCGATGGCGCGGCCTCTCCTAGCGAGCAGATCGACCCCTTTCTTATTCCAGGCAACGCCTTGGCGGATGAGGAGGCGGGGGCTGCGGCGGGGAGGGGTTTGGCGGTCCCGGTGGAGGGAGATGAGCCCCATACTGACCATTAGGATGCGATCGGCACCCTGGTCAGAGCGCGTGCGAGGCGCGCTTTGGCGCTGGCTGCGGAGGCCGACCCATGGAGTGGGATCGGAGCAGCCGCCGTCCAGAGGTGCTGCCCGCTCGCGGCTGAGTGTCGCGATCCAGTCGTCCAGCCATCGTTCCGGGCGAAACGGAGCCAAGTTGCAGCGCAGAGTGTGTAAGTTGGTCGCGCCCTCGGCTCGCGTCGTTGGAGTCGCCGTGGCCTCCCTGCCTGTGTGGATGTAGGGGGCGGCGGGGGGGGCGTGATGCGCATCCTTCCCACGCCGCCCAGCGGTGGGGGCGGTCGTTGATGAGTTTCTGCGCCGCCTGTGGGAAGTTTGCCACGGTTGATCGGCGGCACCTCGCGTCAAAATGCACGGGCATGGCCCGCAAAGGCCGTGGGAATTTGGCGCGCATCGAGGCGGGCAAGTACCCCCGTAGAGAAAGGGGTACCTGAAGCCCTGCAGGCCGTCCTAGTAGGTCTACATGCGATGGAGGCCAGCAGCCTTGCGAGGTCGCGCCCGAGTGCCGCTGGTGCTGTGCCTTTGGGAGGGGGCAGCGCGCCGTCCGCCTCGGCTGGGCAGCTGGGCCTCCCAGTGGGAGACTAACTAACTGCTCAGTCGAGGTTGCAGGGGTGTGGAGGCACTGGCGGTTCCCGCATTCGCTCAAGCACCCCTGTTCGGGCCGTGTCTTTCTCTTCCCTCCCCTCCCTCCCCCTTCCCGCGCGACTTGTGCCTGGTGAAAGGTCCTCCTCCTCCTCCCCCCTCCTCCTCCTCCTCCTCCTCCCTCCTCCCTCCCTCCTCCTCCTGTTCCTGATCCTCCTCCTCCTCCTCCTCCTCCTTCTCCTCCTCCTCCTCCTCCTCCTCCTCCTCCTCCTCCTCCTCCTCCTCTTTGGGCGCCTGCACCTCCCTCCGTTGCAGTCGCGGTCGCGTGGGTTCTCCCTGGCATTTGGAGGCGCGAGCGTGGAGCTCAAATGAAAAACCCTCCTCCTCCTCCTCCTCCTCCTCCTCCTCCCTCCTCCTCCTCCTCCTCCTCCTCCTCCTCCTCCTCCTCCTCCTCCTCCTCCTCCTCCTCCTCCTCCTCCTCCTCCTCCTCCTCCTCCTCCCCCTTCCTCGCCCCTCTTCTGTGCCACAGGGCTTCCTCGCGCCTGTAACAATGCGTGCAGAGTCGGCCCCGACCGCCCAGTCCCGGGACCCCTCCTCTCGGGGCCCGTCCTGGCCGGTTTCGCGAGGCCCCCGTCCTACCGCGGTGACGGGGGACCCCCCCCCTCGAAGACCGAACGATGAGCAGGGGGGGACGGGGAGGACGTGGAAGAGGGGAGGGGGGATAATTGGAGGAGGGGAGAGGGGGAGGGAACGATGGAGAGGGATGGGAGGAGGGGCATGCGAGGAGGTTGGCGCCCCCTGACCCTCCAAATCGACACCTCGTCCGGGGGCGCGCCCCGAGCCAGATTTCGGGGCGGATCCCGAAGTGGCGACGAGCCCTTCACACGTTCTGGGATGCCCCAAGAAACTGCAGACAATATCTGTCAAAACGTTTCAAGTGTCCGTAGAGGTTTCCGGGGATCTGTGGAGGTCTCCTCCCTCTGGCCTGGAGGCTTCTGGAAGCCAGCCTCCGGAGGCCGCTCCCCCTTCACCCCCGCTCCCGAGGTGCACTCCCCCCTGCCGCTGGCCCCGCTCTGCCCCCAGCTGGTAGTGCCCGCCACGTCCAACCTGCGCGTGCTGCTGCCCGAGCTGGCCTGCCGCATTCGGCAGGACTGGCACCCGGGCACGGCGAAGGTGGCGCAGTTGCAGGGAGGATCGGGAGGAGGCGTTCCTCCTCCTCCTCCGCCTCCTCCTCCTCCGCCTCCTCCTCCTCTGCCTCCTCCTCCTCCTCCTTCTCCATCCTCGCCTCCTCCAGTTCCCGCCCTTTTTTCTTTCCCTCCTGTTCCTCCCTCCCTTACTTTCTCCTCCTCTTCCTCACTCATCATCGTTCTTTTCCGCTTCCCCCTCTCCTCAACGTCCTGTTCTGCCGCCTCCTTCTCATCCTCCTCCTCTTCCTCATCCTCATCATCCTCATCCTCGTCTTCATCCTCATCCTCATGCTCATCCTCTTCCTCGTCGTCGTCGTCCTCCTCCTCTTCCTCCTCCTCCATCTTCCTCTTCCTCCTCCCTTGGACGGAGGGGACGGGATGTCCACGACTGGCACACCAGTGGAAAACGGCATCTCGACAGGGACAGCCTATGGCGGCCACTGAATGCGACATCACCTCCTCCACCTCCTCCTTCCCCCCCCATCAATGCCCCTCCACTTGTTTGTCCTCCTTTTCTTCTTCCCCGGCTTCTCCTCTTCTACCTCCTCCTCCCCATCCTTCCCCGTCCCCCCGCAGCGCCCGCCCGCTTCCCCGCTCGAACGGGAGCGCGCGCGGGGAGGAGGGGGAGGAGGAGGAGGAGGCGGAGGCAGGCAGAGGAGGAGGAGGAGGAGGAGGAGGAGGAGGAGGAGGAAGATGAGGAAGAGGAGGAGGAGGAGGAGGAGGAGGAGGAGGAGGAGGAGAAGGAAGGAGAATGAGGAGGGAGGAGGTGGAGGAGGAGGAGGCGGGAGGGAGGAGGAGGAGGAGGAGGAGGAGGAGGAGGAGGAGGAGGAGGGAGGAGGAGAGGGAGGACGAGGAGGAAGAGGATAAGGAGGAGAAGGAGGACGAGGGGAGGAGGAGGAGGAGGAGGAGGAGGAGGACGAGGAGGAGGAGGAGGAAGAGGAGGATGGAGGAGGAGGAGGAGGCGGAGGGGAGGAGGCGAGGAGGAGGAGGAGGAGGAGGAGGAGGAGGAGGAGAAGGAGGAGGAGGAGGAGGAGGAGGAGGGAGAGGAGGGGGGGGGAGGGAGAGGAGGATGATGAGGAAGAGGAGGAGAAAGATGAGGAGCGAGGAGGAGGATGAGGAGCAGGATGGTGCTGGGAGGAGGGGGAGGCGGAGGAGGAGGAGGCGGAGGCGGAAAAGACGGGGGGGGGGGAGGATGACGAGGAGGAGGATGAGAAGGATGAGAAGGAGCATGGAGCAACATTGATGGAGGAGCATGGAAGATCAGTGGAGCATGGGAGAGTAGGATGAAGATGTAGGATTAAGGGAGAGGGGGGACATCGCCAGAGGAAGAACGGGATGCTTCTGCTGGTGTTGCTGCTGTTGATGATGATGATGTTGATGCTGATGCTGATGGTGATGATGATAAGGCTGGTGGTGCTGATGATGGTAATGGTGATGCTGGTGATGGTGATGATAATGTTGATGATGCCCTTGATGGTGATGTCAATGATGGGGGTGGTGATGGTGATGACGATGATGCTGATGCTGATTTCGATGATGCTGATGCTGATGCTGATGATGACGACGGTGCTGATGTTGATGATGCTGCTGCTGACGATGATCATGGCGCTGCTGATGATGACGATGAGTATGCTGCTGATGTTGATTATCATGAGGATGATGATGATGGCGATGATCAGTTTGATGAATCTGATGCTGATGCTGTTGGTGATGATAATGCTGATGCTGATGTCGATGATGCTGGTGATGATGATGGTGGTGGGGGGGGGGGTGGTGATGACGATGACGATGCCGATGACGATGGCGGTGGCGGTGAGGATGACGACGATGGTGACTATGATGATGCTGCTGATGATGATGATGATGATGATGATGATGATGATGATGATGATGATGATGATGACGATGCCGATGCTGATTATGATGATGCTGATGATGATGCGGCTGATGGTAATGATGCTGATGATAACGACGACGATGCTGAAATTGCTGCTGATGATGACGATGAAGAAGATGATGTTGCTGATGATGATGATGATGATGATGATGATGATGATGATCATGCTGATGATGTTGATGATGATGCTCATGATCATGATGCTGATGATGATGGCGGGGATGACTACGATGATGCTGATGAGGATGATGTTGGTGATGCTGATGCTGCTGATGTTGATGCTGTTAGTAATGATTATGGTGGTGAGCGTGGTGATGATGACGATGACGATGATGATGACGATGGCGGCGAAGATGACCACGATGGCGACTACGATGATGATGCTGATGCTGATGCTGATGATGCTGATGCTGATTCTGAAGATGATGATACTGCTGCTGATGATGATGATGATGCTGATGTTAATGATGCTGGTGATGACGACGACGCCTACGATGATGATGATGCTGCTGCTGCTGATGATGATGATAATGTTGATGATGATGATGATGATGATGATGATGATGATGATGATGATGATGATGATGATGACGATGAAGAAGATGATGTTGCTGATGATGATGATGATGATGATGATGATGATGATGATGATGATGATGATGATGCTGCTGATGATGATGATGCTGATGCTGATGCTGATGCTGAGGATGATGGTGGTTGGCTATCAGGAGGAGGAGGGGAGGAGGAGGGGGAGGAACCGGAGGAGGAGGAGGAGGAGGAGGAGGAGGAGGAGGTGAGATGAGATGAGAGCGGTCGCGAAGCGAGTCTATATATGATTAAGCCCTGGCCGCCACGTCAGCCTTGCTGAGGGCTTTAGGCGGCAGATCTCTTTCTAAACGACGGAGATACTCCTCGCCAGTGGGGGTGGGTGGGAGGCAGGCCCCCGCCAGCTTCTTACTCAACAGAGCTGAACCGACGGACTTGCAACTGCCACATAACCACACTCCTTGATATTCATGATACCTCATGTTGTGGGAACTATGGACCACACTCCCTGCGAGATTTAAAACCCGACCCTTGGGCAAGGCAGAAACTTTGTCGGAAATAAACACGAGCGGAAAGCATGGGGCCCCGAGCCAACTATTCAAGTTGGCGTTTGAAGACGAGCCCCGACACACCAAACATTTCTTACCACTGCAATCTACATTGTGAGACGAACCCAAATGAGCGACGGCATGAGGTCAAGGGGGATGCGGCATGGCAGGAGCTTCAGAAGAACATTTCCTCTTGCCACTGTGCACGGCTGACTCAAGGCATATCCGAAGAAGCCTAAGTCGTACCAGCCGTGCATCTGCTTCCACCTGTTGAACACGAGCTCTCTGGGCCTCAGGGACTCGAGCTTCGCCAGCAGCGATTCCCGCGAGGACGTCCACATATGCATTTCCTTCGACCATCCACGGTGGCACCTGCTGCTCGATGATCTGTCGCCCGTCGAGATGTGAGGCCACCTTGAGAACAACAATCTCGTTGTTGGCTCGAACTTTCAGATGTTTCTGGATGGCCCTCCAGATGACGGCGTTGGGGCCTGTCGGTTGGTCGTAAGCTCGAGCCCACCAGCCTCTGCAGACCCCATCGTTGTCGGTAACGTATACCGTCGGCCCTGAGGACCAACGAATTGAGACCTCCAGCATGTACAGCTCCCCGCGCGCAACCGTCTGGCGGTCGCCTGGCAAGGGACCGAACAAGACGGGAAAGTCTTCGTTCGATTCAGGAGAAAATGCCGCCGCCGCCAACCCAACTCGACGAAGTCGTGGATCGTGTGTGTCGGCACCTCCCGAAGCATCTCCATATATAATCAAGGGTTGGGCCATCGAACCCATGCCGAAAGAGAAAGTGTCAGCCTGAGTCTGTCCCATGCCTTTCCATTTCTCCTCTTGTGTCGGCTTATCAACCTCAGTCCACTTGGTTGGAATCAGCCTTCGGAACCAACAACATTCTGCTAAATTGGCCTGTGTAACCGCACGGTGGCACAGGTCGTCTGCCATGTCAAAAATGTGGGATCCAGAATTGCACGCACATTGCCAGGACCGATGTAACGGCGTCTCACTGGCTTGATCTGGGCACCTGTCACACAAACCTGAACAATCGTATCCACTGTCTTTGCGCCTGGACTCTGTCCAGACCCCTCCCACTGCGATGGTCAGTAGCATCTCGGCAAGCCTGCGCCCCTGGGGAAGAGCTTCGAGCTGGATGAGCTGCTTTCGGAGGCTGTGGTTGTCTAGACCGTCCTCGATGCCGCCACCGCATTATGTGTGAGAGGCGTCAGCCCAGAGCTGGCGCTGGAATGTCTGAGAAAAATCGCTAATCATCTCCGCCGCCTCCGTGACCGACTCCAATTGGTTGGCGTCGAACTTCCACCCTGGAATGTGGCCGTCTTGGTCGTGTTGGTCGGCGGGTAGATACCATTCGGCTGGACCCTGAGGGTCCCATCCTGCTGTGGGTAAATACTGCGCCAAGCCCGAGATGGGCCCTCGAACGTGACGAGAGCGGTGTCGAGGCTCAATACTCTTCATTTGGCTGACTATGCCTCCCCAAACTCGGGCCACTGGTGCATGAACACGGGGTTCAGAAAGCCAAACCGAAATCCATTGTTCGAGAAATTGCCTAGGAAGCTGAACTCCTGGGCCCCTCTGCGGGGTCCTGATGTCGAGGAGAGTCGTGAGGTCCCTGCCGCGCTTGTGGCCGCCAGCAATCGCCCCGAGCCTCCGTCGCAAATCTGGAATCGAAGACTTGGGGAGCCCATGGGCCTGGCGCCCATAGTTGGCAGCCACATGCCCCCCCCCCCATCTCGACCTTCTTCAAAATGCGAAACCTCCGAGAAACAGCTGCATAACGCTTAATATTCAAATGCTGGACCTTCGGCGTCTTCATCCTGGAGGTACGTGTTTGTCGAGCCAGACGCTTGCCGTTGCCTAAGTCGATGCCCAGGTACGTGGTCTGGCTGCCCCACTGGACCTGCGCTCCTCGCCGGCTCAGCCTCTTAACTATCCTCTTGGCGTCAGCGA